AAAAGGGAGAAAGAAATGGGGATTGGAAGACATGCATCACACACACGCACGCTTATTACAACAATTAGCCCTATCGACAAAGGGACCGAATAAGAAACTAACTAGCTAATCTAAGCTAATTAAACTAATTATTACAAAACAAATTGAAATAGCTAAACGCATTAACTATTAAAGCACAAAACAAAGCATAAGCTAGCTATCTAAGCATGGCAACAAAGGAAAGCAATAAAATAAGAGCCTCGAGAGGGAGAAGACTGGATGCATGCTCAGTCGCCTCGTTCAAAAATCCAATGCGATGCCCCGATTTGCCTCTGTTTTCAATTATCCTCAGAACCTTGAACCAAGCTCCAGAAAGCTGAAACTCCATCATGGGAACCTGTGGGAGGGTTGCCGACTGGTTGTTGAGGAAGGAGACCACCTACCGACCACTTTCTGTGCTGAAAAACTAGAAAAAGTGGTCGGCCAGCTAGTAATACTGGTCGGCCGACCAGTTGTTGCTGCTGAATTCCAGTTTGCTGCAACAGAGAGCAAGAAAGGGCATGGCAATGAATTTGCAAGGTATGTGTGCACAACCACTCTCCCTATCATTTCATAAGCTCAAGGGAGTGTGGTTCTCGATCCTCGGGCCACCAATCGTGTATTTCGATGCATGATGGCTGAGAGGCGAAGTTGCACAATTCAATATGAAATGAATGCACAAGTAAACACATAATGCCTAAAACTCTATCATGCTTGATTAAGAGCGTTGGCGACGGCGACCGAGAATTGAGGCACATTTCATCACTTCAAGTATGAAACGTCCCTCGTTTCTCATGCTCGGATTAACACTTAATCCAAACAACGATGCAACAACATGGCATATACAACGCAAACAACATGGCATACTCAATGCAATGTGACATGATCAACTTAACAAAGCTAATGACATGCGAACAATTCAAATGCATGCATGCACAATGCAATGCTACAAGGGCAACTTAGCAATGTTAGGAACACGCATACTCAATGCAAAGAAACAACTTGGCATACACAATGCAAATAACCACATGGTATGCACAATGCAATGTAAGATGGCATACTTAATGCAATGAACAACAAGCATTTGAACAACATGTAAACAAACATGCTACATGGACTTAAACCAAAAGGGGGTAAACCTCAGTCATGCCCAAATCAGTGGCCATTGGTGATAAAGTTAAGGCACATGAAGCATATGCAAGCATGCACATGCAATGGCCCATCAAAGAGGCCTAAGAGCACAACTCTCAAGAGTGCTCAAAGAGTGACAAACATGGAAGTGTAATAACACTAAGTGCACTGAAATAAGGTAAGAAATGATGCCAAATCATTCCAACAAAACAAGCAAAGCATGCAATGGTCCTTAAAGCATTAAAGCTAACAAAGAGGACCACAAAAGGGGAATGCAATACATGGCACAAATGCATGAACCAATCATAGACAGAGGTTAAATAGGTCAAAACAAAGACCTAAACATACTGAGATAGGGGGCTCAAGGACCTAGGCATACAAGCATACAAGCTAAACCGTAAAAGAGGCAACAACGCACAACACTCAAAGGCATTCGAAGCATGAAAGAAGTGGGAATATGGAAATGCTATAAGCTCTGGAATAAAGTACTAAATGATGCTAAATCTTCTAAATAGCTCAAAGATAGCATGCATGAGTCAACAAAACACAAAGCTAACAAGGCTAATTACACTACGGTTATACAAAGCATGAAGGATATGGCAAAGGCAACCCAAAACAATCCTAGATCATTCCAAAATGATACTAAAACATGCATAGAAGAAAGCCAAAACAAGCTAGCATGAAGGGCATAAGGCATGGTGCATACAAGGCAAATAAGGTGGATTACACTACACCTATTAAGACCAAGCATAGGATGACTCAACCAATAAAAATTAGAGTTATATCATGGCAAAATAACCCCAAAAACACATTGAAATGATGGCTCACAAGCTTAGGCATAAAGGCATACACAATGGTTCATGTTAAGACATAAAAGGGGAAACCCTCCAACGCATTGAATAAGTGAAAGATGCAAGTGCCTAAGCATGAAACATGGACTAAAATCACATGATAAATGATACCGAATCATCTAAACAGTCCAAGTAAAGCATGCTAGTAGACTTGACATACAAAGCTAACAAGCTAGAATGCACTATAGCTATACAAAGCATGGCATGCATGACCAAAACAATACAGATCAGAGCTAAAGTATGTTAAAACATGGACAAAAGCTTCTTAGAGTTAAGCCAAAAGCATGCTAGAATGACATGTCAAAGCATGAGACACATTAGGCTAATTCATGGAATTGCACTACAAGTGCATGGAGCATGCAAGCGGTGACCAAACCAAACCCTAACAGAGGTATGACATGGTAGAACATCACCAAAAACATGCTGAAATGGACTCAACATAAGCTAGAAAGACATGCTACTTCATGAAGCATACAAGACTAGTTTATGAAATTTACACTACAAGTGTAAAAGGCATGCAAGAGCCAACAAAACCAACCCAAAACAGATCTAAGGCATGTCAAAATAACACCAAAAACCTACTGAGATGGCCCCAAAACCAGCTAGAAAGACAAGTTCAAACATGAGGCACACAAAGCTAGTTTGCAAGATTTACACTACAAGTGTTTAAGGCATGCGTGGAATGACCAAACCAAGTCAAAACAGATCTAAGGCATGCTAAAATAACCCCAAATACATGTTAATAACAAGCCAACACAAGCTTAATAAACATGCTCAAACATGAGGCATATGAAGCAAGTATTCAAAATACAAGGAGAGGGGATGACCCTCTCCTTTTTGGGACCTCAAAACCTCCTCTCCACCACTGAAAATCCTCTGGATTTCAGTGGTAGAAATTTCATGCAAAGGTGATCCCAAAGCTTAAAAAGAAGGCACAAAAGCAAGGCCAAACAAGGCCTAAGGGGGGGTAGACAACCCCTAACACAAAAGTGACCTTAAACAAAGATCTTAAGGGCCAAAAATCAAAAATATTTGTAGTTAAGAGTTAGTCCTAAAACAGCATGAAAATAGGCTCCAAATTTTAAGCAAAAATGGGGGGATTTAAGGGTTAGAAACTCACCCTTGAAGACCACCTTTAAAGCTGCAACTCCAGCAGCTTCTTCAAGCTCAAACCAACCCAAGAACACCAAAAACAACTCTTAAACACCTCAACAACTAAAGGATGGTGTTTGAGTGTGTGTTTGTGTGTTAAAGTAAGACAAAACCACACTTTTGAAGCACAAAAATGAACTAAAGGGCAAGATAGATACAAGGGTGTATCTATAACTCTCAAGGCAATTTTTCTGAACCTAGAGGAGGGAGGAGGTGGTTCTCTCTTATAGAGAACCAAAAGCTAAAGCTTCTCAAGGAAGCTAAGCTTCAAGGCCATCCCTCTATACATATGTATGGAGGATGGCTTCAGTGCCCTCCAGCTGCAGCTGGAGGAAAATATCTCCAAAAATGTGACAAAAAGCAGCCGACCACTTGAAGTGGTCAGCCAGCTACTTAAAGTGGTCGGCCAACCACTTCAAGTGGTCTCCCAGAACAAAAACCGGTCGGCCATAGGTGGGAGAAGTCTACATATTGAAAACAAGGTGGTGGTATAGTAGCCGACCAGAAAAGGTGGCCCAAAGACCAAGAAAGCCAGTTATCCGACCAGAAAATTGGCTGGCAGGAGAAAAAGTGGTCTCCAAGGGGAAAAACTGGTCTCCCACTCTTGTACCACCTTCCAAACAAGGAAAACAAGGTTTGTACCGAAAACAAACCAAAACGGATGCAAGACGAGAGATCGGGAGACAAAACACGCGGCCAAAAGCCTTGAAAACTAGTCTACTGGTATCAAAAGTGGTATACAACCACAAAAGTGGTCTCCTGGACCACAGTGTTCCTCTACGCAGAGGCAACAAGGCATGGTTCAAAAACCACGCCAAACAAAGAACGTTAAGTGGTCCCGAGACAAGGCGTGCGGCCGAAGGCTCTAAAAATCGAAAACTAGTCTCCAAACGGGAAAAGTGGCCTACGATCACAAAAAGTGTTCTACGACCACAAAGAGATGGTCTACAAGACCTCTCCCTCCCTCTGGGAAGATAAAACAAGATTCGGTCCACAAACCGAGCCAAAGCACAAAGAGTTTAGAGGCCTGGAGGCAAGGCTCTCAGCCAAAAACTCCAAAACCTCAGAACGAGCACAATATGCACAATCACCAAGCGCTCAATTGATGATGTCTGAGTCTTAAGGTCGGTCAAAATGGGGTGTCTACACTCTTTTACTGTGTTGGGCCTCTTTAGATCCTGGATTCTTTTATCTGAGAGGGGTCTACTTCTATACCTCGGTTGGTCACCAGGAAGCCTAGGAATTTGCCTGATCCTACGCCGAATGCACACTTGGATGCATTTAGACGCAATTTGTTCTTCTTTAGGATTTGGAACATTTCGTCTAGGTCCCTGAGATGGTCTTTCTCATCCTTGCTTTTGACCACCATATCATCTATGTAAGCTTCCATTGTTTTGCCTAACAATGGTTCAAACATCTTGGTGATTATCCGTTGGAATGTAGCCCATGCGTTCTTTACGCCAAAGGGCATGACCTTGTAACAATACAGCCCTCTTGGCATTGTAAACGATGTGACCTCCTGGTCTAGCTCATACATGGCGATCTGATGGTAGCCTTTATACGCATCAAGAAAGCTTAGCCGGTTATGACCTGCCGTTAGGTCCACCAATTAGTCTATTCGTGGCAGGGGGAAACTGTCCTTTAGGCATGCCTTGTTGACTTTTTTGTAGTCCACGCAAACACGCCATATTCTATTTTTCTTTGGTACTACGACAATATTAGAGATCCGTCTTGGATAGTGCACTTCTCTGATGGCCCCTGCCACCAGCAGGTTTCCTACTTTCTCTACCACTATCTCCGCGTGGTGGAATGCTCACCTGCGAGTGCGCTGTATGACCGGTCTGGCGTTTAGGTGGACATTAAGTTGGTGGCAGATGAACTTTGGTCAATGCCAGGCATGTTGTATGGCATCCAGGCGAACACTTCAATATTTGAGATTAAGAATTCCATTAACTCGGTCCTCTCAGTGTTGGACAAAGACGAGCCTAGCAAAAAGAATTTTTCTATGTCTTTTTCATCTACCTTTACCTCAACCAAGTCCTCCACCGCCTTTTGCTCTGCTGCTTTGCCCACGTTCGCAAACTGTTCATTCCTTTCTGGCTCTTCCACTATTTGTACATAGCCTTTTGCAGCTCGGCTACCATTTACTGTGACGAAGCACTATTTTGACATGATTTGGTCTCCCAAGACCTCTTCAATTACTGCGGCTTTGTTAGGGAACCGCAATGCTTGATAGTAGGTTAAAGCTACCGATCGCATAGCGTGCGGCCATGTTCTTCCCAGGATTATGTTGTAAGTGGAAGGGACCTTCAATACCCAAAATTCCACTTGTTTAGTCATGGTCCCAGCTTTGACTGTGAGGATTATCTTGCTTATTGGCCATTCTAGCATTGAGTTAAAGCCGACTAGGGGGGATGTTGCAGGGGCCAAGTCTTTGTCCTCTAGCTTCAGCTGTTTGAAGGTTTCATAGTACATTATTTCGCACAAACTTCCTTGGTCAATCAGGATTCTCTTGACTTCGAAGTTCTTGACGCGCAGATTTACCACCAGTGCGTCATTGTATGGGCAATGTAGCCTCGCTAGGTCCTTGTCTGAGAAGGATATGACGTTCGTAGCCTTTGTTTTGCCCTTTTTTATGGCGGATTGTGCACCTAGTATCTCCTTCAGGTGTTCTGCCTTCTTTATCATCCCCCTGAGTTCACATACCCGCTCAGGTTCAATGATCCCATGAATAACATTGATTACGCCTTGGGGTGGTCCATCCACTGGTATCCCATTTGGCGCGTTGAGGTCCTGGGGGGCCGGCTGTGTTCCCCCTTCGATATACTGGTCTAGGTGGCCAGCAACTACTAATTCTTCCAGATGTTGCCTTAGGGGTGTGCAGTTTTCAGTTAAGTGCCCCTTCTCATCATGGAAGGTGCAGCAGGACCTCTCGTCGTAGACCCTTTGTGTTACTCCCAACTTGGCTGGCCACTGAACGGAGGGTTCATTTTTTATCTTGCTGAGAATTCGGTAGATGGGCTTATTGTACACGGTGGTGATGGCAGTGCGAACTCTTAACCTCCTTTTTTCTAGGTCTTCCCTGTTGGCTCGCCTGCTTCGCCCATTCTTATTTGGTTGTTCTACCATGTTGACTTTTGCTCCAGTCTTCTTATCTGGCATTACTGTTGAGCCAGATTTTGCTTTAGCCCAAGCGCTATCTTTCTCCACGCGGATATGTTAGTGTACCCTTTCCATTAGGGCCTCCATCGTGAGGGGCGGCATCATAATAATTGAGTCCCTCAACTTATTTCCGACTGGTAAGCCCCTTTTGTATTGCGCGATGGCGAGATTTGTGGAGTAATCTCCTATCTGGTTGAAAGTCTCCCAATATCGACTGTTGTAGGATCTCAACGTCTCCTTGTCGCCCATGTCAATGGAGAGTAACTGATCGATCTCCACTGGTGTCCTGGTGTTTGTTCTGAACCTAGTCACGAACGCCTCTGCCAATTGTACCCAAGAGGCGATACTGCATTCTGGTAGCCTTTCGAACCAAGTTAGACCCAAGTCGCCAAGGTTGGACGGGAACAAGATGCACATTAGGGCCTCGTTCCGCCGGTATACTGCCATAACCTGGCGAAAGTGGCTCAAGTGCATCTATGGGTCCGTCTTTCCCTCATAGATTGTGAACTTGGACTGGTGGAAGCCTGAAGGTAATGGTGCGTTCTCTATTGCCGGAACGAACGGAGAGCTCTATAACCTTGCTAACACTTTGTCCGCTGGTTCGTAAGCAAAGCGCGGCATTGGCATTCCTACCTCAACACTCTCATGTGTCCTAGGGGCCAATCGTTGTAGTGCTGAAACCCTGCGTGGGTCGCGAGCCCTGGTGTCCTCTTTCCATCAGGCCCTTTCCTCAAGTACTGTTCGCAAGTCAGATGATCTAGGCAACTCCGTGTGCCTAGATGTCGTCTGGTGCATGTGCGAGGGCCGATAGGTGCTTCCCCCAGTGTACGACCTCTCAGTTCTCGTTCTCTCCGACCTGGAGTAACGAATCCTGGAAGTCCTCGATTGAGTGTCGCCTGTTCTAAGGCTCTTACTTTCTGCTTGCGATGGGGTGACCTGTTGCCTGTCACGATCCTCTAAGTGGCGAAAGGACGTGTTGCCTTTGCGCCCATCTCCTGTCGCCACCCCTTTTCCTTTTATCTGGCGCTTCATTAACTCCATGTCCACCGTCATCCTTCTTATTAACTCGTCTTGTTCCCTAACGCGATCCTCCAAAACCTGGGAGTCCAATCTCCGCCTCCGTCTTTCAGGACTTTGAGAGCAACGGGGGCTGCTACCTCGTCTTCCACTTGCATCCCTTCGGGGGTTCTGTCGTTGGGGTTCTAAGTCCGCCATGGGTAGGATAGAAGGTAAACCTTCGCACCTCCCACCCCCTTCTGGGGTTTTTCCGTCGATAGCAGACTGCGACAAATCCTCATTGTGCGCCATTGGTTTCAGCTAGAGAGGAAAACTTGATCAAGAGGTTTTTTTCTTTCTGTAAGTTTCCTGAGATCCTTATCCTGGCGGAAGAGTATTCAAAGTTAGTTATTCCTGCCAACCTCTCTTTAGCCTAGATCCTTATTAATATATTCTCTGATGTTCGCGATTTTTGGGGCGTCACACCTTGATTATTAAAGTATAATGTAAAATATTACAGTTCGTAAAATATAATTTAAACAAAAAGAAAGTGCATAAAGATAACCTACGAATTTTTGAGATACAGTACAAATCTCTATTTTAAAAATGTATGCGCTTTCCTCTGTCTAAATTCAAATGAATACATACAACTTTAAGATTCAATCAAAATTCTTTACAATGATTTGATTCATAATGGAGAACTATAAATATTATGCATATTAGTATAAAAATAGACACAAAAAATTAAAAAAAAAGTAATTATTTTTTATTCTTCAATTATCATCACTGCAAAAAAAATAGGGAGACGATTTTGTTTTTGGATAAGAAGGGAGACAATTTGTTTATATGTATGTATGACTCTTGGAAATAGATATATTATTTTTGAGTGTTCAACTCCAAAAGTAAATAGATAGTTGGTTTATATAGGATTCTTCATGACTTTTACAAAATATAGCAGATTTAAGAGGGTAAAATTGGGATTTAAAAAAATAAAAAATATGGTAAGTTCTTCACACTTTTATATAAGCAAAAGGGAATTTCTAATGAGAAGCCTCCTAAGAATTCCAAACTCTCATTTTAAAATTATTTATTTTTTAATTTACAAAATAGATTAAAAAAACTAGGGAGTTTTTTTGATAAATCCATTTTCTAAGAGTTTTATTCCATCCAACCCATATTCTTTTTTACTATTCCATTAGGTCCAATTTGAGATAAGAAGACCAAAATACCCTTTTCATCTATTTATGTTCCATTTAGTTCACATTATTTTCTTATATTTCAATAAGTCCTATGGGTGACATAATTACCAAAATACCCTTAATGTGAATGTTCACACCGTCAACGTAAATGTTCATATCGTCAATGTGTAGGGGCCCGGCCCATGTCGATCCTCGTGGGTGCCCGGAAAAATTCGAGTCGGCAGGCCAAAAAAATAGGCCCCCCTTCAACAAATCTAAAAGGCAATTCATCAAGAATGATCATTTCAGCTAGAGCTTTCCTAGCACCTTCCACTGTAAAAGAAGTTGCCACTAGACCGACACCATCTCCATCTTTTTTGTTTTGAAAAGACAATGTATGTTGACTCTTTTCTTGTTCTCTATAAGGATACTTTAAACAACTAGCCACATGACTCAATAAATTACTAGTCCCATGAGACTTCGACTCAGCCATGTATTCTTTTTGACAATACTTACATACAGCCCGTGTTTTCCCATCTTCCTCATTTTTAATTTTATCAAAATGATCCCATGCTCTTGATGGTTTCCTACCACTACCTTTTCGTCGTGCCTTACCCTTCTCCTTAGGTGGTAATGGAGGCTTATCAGAAAGAAAAGGTCCAGTGGTATTACCTTCAATAGGTTGGGCACTACCAGTGGCTGTTTCAGTAGGTTGGGCACCAATTGTGACTGTCCATTGCCTTGCGAAGAGAGATCAGCACAGTGCTTTGAAGCCAATTCTGAGTACAAACAAGTACCTCAACCATCATAGGAGAAAGAGAACTTCGAAAAGGATCAAGAATGCGTCCACTGGTACTAAATGCCGACTCCGAAGCCACTGTTGAAACCGGCATTGCCAATACAACACGAGCTACTTGGGACAACACTCGATACTTAGAAGAATTAGCTTTCCACCACCCCAAAATTTCAAATTTTTCATCTCTCACTCCTTCACAACAATCAGCCAAATACTTGTCCACTTCGGACTTGCACATAACAGAAAATTCAGCATCCAAATATGTATTAAATTGAGATTCAATCAACAAATGAGGATCATCACAATCATCATCAATCACCATCCTAGATGGTTCATTTGTGTCAAGTACTCCCACAAAATTTGAATCATTTGCAAGGTAATGGTCATACAAACGAGTCAAACAATCTTTCACTTGACCAGTCATTGTATTGACTACACTTTCACCAAAAAATTGGGAAAAACAAAATTGAACATACCTCAATTTATTTTATTTTATTTTATTTTATTTTGTGGATCAAGCGCTATAACAACATATATCAACAAATTTATTTTATCTCAATTACTCCAATATTTGTCAAATTTTTATTTCATTCCTTTTTCCATTAAAGCCATCAATTCATCTTATTTCCCATCTTTTTTACTCAATTGCTCAATCTTTGTTAAATAACAAACATCTCACCCAAAAAAAGAAAAACAAAACAAAACAAAACAATTAGAAGTTACATAAAGGGAGCCCGAAAACCTTTTAGTAGCATTGTAGAAAAGCCTTAAGAATTTTAAAAATAGTCTACAATTGTTCCAGTCACCCTCTGTTGGAGCACCCCATGACTTCTTCTTTCTACCACTTCCATCCTCCCTATCGCCCTTTAAAAAGTAAGATCGATAATTTGAGTCCTCCTCCTCTAAACACTCAAATGCTTTCTCAAATTTTTCAGCACTCTCCAACATCAAATAAGTTGAATTCCACCTAGTAGGTACATCAAGACATAACAAAGACTTGGACTCAATTTGACACATCTCCACACACTTCTTAAAAGATTCATGCCTATTTGGAGACGACCTCACATATCTCACAGCATCACGCACACAACAAATTAAAGCATCCAACTCTTTCAAGCCCTCACCAACAATGAGATTCAAAATATGCGCACAACAACGCATATGTAAGAACTCATGACCCAAAACAGTGCCCTTCCAATCTTTTGTTTTTCTTTTCAAGAATTTAATGGTTGTGTTGTTAGAACTCGCATAATCAACAGTCAAAGTAAAACACACTACCAAGGTTCCATTCAAGTAAACATAACTCAATCCTCTTACCAACAGTTTCACCTTTATGATTCTCAACTTGACAAAAATTTAAATTCCTTTTTTGCAATTTCCAATCATCATCAATAAAATGAGCCGTAAGACACATGTAATTAAGATTTTGTATGGATGTCCATGTATCAGTTGTAAGACAAACTCTACGACCCTTCAAAAAATTTCTTAACTTAGTCCTCTCAGTGTTAAAAATTGCAACTACATCTTTAGCAACAGTGGTACGAGATGGAATCATGGTAAACTTTGGTTGTAAAGCATTGCAAAACCTACGAAAACCAACCCCTTCAACAAATCTAAAAGGCAATTCATCAAGAATGATCATTTCAGCTAGAGCTTTCCTAGCACCTTCTACTGTAAAAGAAGTTGCTACTAGACCGACACCATCTCCATCTTTTTTGTTTTGAAAAGACAATGTATGTTGACTCTTTTCTTGTTCTCTATAAGGATACTTTAAACAACTAGCCACATGACTCAATAAATTACTAGTCCCATGAGACTTTGACTCAGCCATGTATTCTTTTTGACAATACTTCCATCTTTCTCATTTTTAATTTTATTAAAATGATCCCATGCTCTTGATGGTTTCCTACCACTACCTTTTTCC